ATTATAAAAAACATTTTATAATTTTTTTAGTAGTTAAATAATTTTTTTTTAATTTTATAAATAATTTTTTTAAAAAAAATTTTATATAGTAAAAATTATTTCTCTAATCATAATTTATATATAAATTTTCATATAAAAATTTATAAAAAATTTTTAATCTAAATTTTTTTGGTTTAAAAATTAAATTTTATAATAAATTTATTAATAAAGTATAAAAAAAACTTAATATTTTATTATTTATATTCTAAAAATATATATATTTAAAGTTTTATATTAAATATATTAATATTTATTTATTTATTTTAAAAAATAGTTGTTCAGAAACTTTTTAGACAAACTGTAAATACAATAATTTGAAATATTTAAAATGATCCATTTGTATTTAATTCAATTATTTGATTATTTATCAATAATTTCAAATTTAAGATGATATGATTTTTTTCAAAAATTATTTTTATATTTAATTTTTTTAAATAAATAATTTTTTTTACATATTGATTTTAGAATTATAACAATATAAATATATACATATTAATTTAAAATACATATTTCTGTTGTTAAAAATGTGTAATATAATTGTTTTTACATTATAAAATATAATCAAGATTTTTTTAAATTTTTTGTTTAAATATATACCAATGGTTAAAAATATGAAATTAATACTTTGGATGCATAATTAATATAATATCAAAATACAGTATAATAATATCAATTACCAATAAATATTTTTAGTTGTTTGATATTATTTGATATCTTATATTGCCTAATATATATATATATATATATTTATTTATTTATTTAATACAGTTTATATGATTAATACTGTATAACAAGTCAGTATTTAACTTATTGTTATACTGTATATTATATATACTGTATTATATATAATATTGGTTTTTTCTATAATATTTTTTCATCAATAATATCAATATACAGTATATTAGATGTAATATGAAAGTTTACTCGACGATAACAAAAAAAAAGTCTCGCAAATTAGTCAAACCCATCGTCAAGAGCATGTTAAAATACCCCCTTTTGCGAATCAAATAGAAAAAGGGTTAATGATAATTTTGGTTCTTTTCATCATAGAAAATACATAGTATATATTTGAAAATCCTACTTTTTTGGTTAGACAATCATCTATTGATAACTGCGATACCATAACTCGACATATATGGCTATTGAGTTAGACCTATCGCGTGATGACGGTCAAAAATCAAACATGCATTTGTCAAATATCCGAAATGCTGGATGAATTATATAAGAGCGACGAGCATATCATATCATTAAGTATTTAAATTAATTCATTCTTGGTAGTTGATTAGATATCAAGTAATTCTTGGCATAAGAGATCTCCGAAAATTGGCACAAAATTACGTATAAATATGCTAGAGATGGAATAATTTTTGTTGATGAAATTTGTGTTGGTGGATTTTTTCCAATGGTAAAACGAATATAGAAGAATTGTTTCGTTCGATTGATTACGCAGGGACTCTTTTTTGATCCAAGAAAAAAGTTTATATTTTCGTTGATCTTGCAAATTAAGTCGTTGTGACGATCATCTCCATGTGTAGAGGCATACATAAGCACACAGCACAGATATAACGTATGTACGCACGTAAGAATTACACAGGTATAGATGAAAAGTATTAATTGTACAATGAATTAGACTCAAGGGTAATAAGTTTTTTGTTTGTGTACTTGCATGAGTTGTGCGTAAACATTGTATCGATTTTGGAAAAGTCATAAACCACGAGTTTATTGTCGTAAATTATTTGGATACCCTAATATGGCAACCTGAAAAATTAGTACACATAAATTGCAAATTATATTCGAAGTGGAAGGTTTCTTGGTTCGATTTTTTCTTCGTTTTGGTAGACCATAGGGAATCACCCATTCCTTCCACATTCTTTCACTTTAATTCTCCATTCCATTCCATTTTTTTTTTTCACCTCAAATTTCGTACTATCTAATTAATATTCTTTTTGGTCACCAGGGAAAAACAAGACGCGGAAACAATATACAAAATGTCGCATGGCCACAGAATCCAACCACTTAATCCAGAGGAATCTTGCGATCGAAAATCCGCTGGTTTATTTGCACAAAGCAATCAGTCCCGAAGCTGCTGGTCTCGCAACAGGATAATAATAATATTATTGATAACTTTTCTCATAGTCTTGGGGGGTTCAGCAGCCATATTCTTCCTGGTCGTTCGCCCCAACTTCCTGTCGGATAACAAGAACACCAACGGGGGGGACAGCACGAATAGCGCGAATAACACGAATCCTACCACAACCTCGCCTACATCGTCATCATCATCACCATCACCGTCACCATCGAACAGTGTAATAGATGACTCAAAGGCGCCTAATTCGTGGACTCCACCTTTAAACCAACCATTCCCATATGGCAAACAACCTGTGCGGGGCGTGAATTTGGGTGGTTGGCTGGTATGAATTAACAAAGAAAATTTCGTGAACAACATTATAATATTTCATGCAATCCTCTGATTTTTATCCGACCTCCGTAGGTTTTGGAGCCTTTTATCACCCCGTCCCTGTTTAATGCTTCGGGGGTAATTGACGAATACACTTTGTGCGCATCGCTCGGACCTGACGCGGCAAAAGAAACGTTGGGCAATCATTATTCAACTTTTATTACCGAACAAGATTTTGCAGACATTGCCCAGGCGGGGTTGGATCACGTGAGAATACCGTTCGGACACTGGGCGATAAGCACCACTGCCGATGAACCCTACGTCCCAAAGCTTAGTTGGGATTATCTTCTCAAAGGGATCGAATGGGCCAGGAAATACGGTTTAAGGGTTTTGGCTGAACTGCACACCGCACCCGGCAGTCAAAATGGATGGAACCATAGTGGTATTAGATCGTATATATTTGCACGTGATTTACGAAAGAGAATTATTATTATTATTATTATTGACACGAAATTTATTTAATGCAGGCAGGCAGGGTAATGTAAATTGGTTACTGGGACCAAACGGAACCGCAAACGCAGATCGTACACTCAGCATCATTCAAGAAGCCATTTCTTCTTTAAACTCGCTCAATTATCAACATGTCGTTTCGTTAATTTCTCCTTTGAACGAACCTCGCGTGGAATTAGTCGGACTCAACGTTCTTCAAGAATGGTATCAGAAGGCCTATGATGTAATTCAAAATGTCACAGCCAAAGGACCTTTGCAACCGTGGATTTTGTATAGTGACGGTATGGCTGGTTTATCGGCTTGGAAAGGTTTTATGAAAGGTTATAAAAACGTAGCACTTGGTAAGTAGGTATAGAATGGTATCCATCTCAATCGACCTTGAATATTGACAGAATCTGTCACCGGTTTCTTTCGTAGACACGCATCAGTACCTGATATTTGATCCCAATCTCATGAAGGTGTCTCAAGAA